AGACAGAGATTACAAGTAGGCAGAGAGGCAGGCAGAGAGGAGGAAGCAGGCTCCCTGCTGAGCAAAGAGCCCGATGTGGGGCTCGATGTGGGGCTCGATCCCAGGACCCTGGAATCATGACCTGAGCTGAAGGCAGAGGCTTTAACCCACTGAGCCACCCAGGCGCCCCATAAGTAAAATCTTAAAAAAAAAATAAAAACAAACAAAAAAAAAAACCCCACTACTACCAGTTCTCCAAAAATAGTATGCGTTTATGTATGTATGTAAGTTTATTATAAATCTTACTGATTCAAAGGATGTGTAACACAGAACTTACAAATAATAAAACATACAATATTCTTAATTGTAAATTCCACTCTTGTATTCATGACTACATAGACCAAGTTGTGTCCCAACTCCAAGGTATTTCCAGTATGAATGCTGGTTGATATTTTAATTCACATTTTTGAGTAAGACGAAAATGAAACACTGGGGATGTGTGAAGATTTCACTCCTTCCTCAATGACTTGACGAACTTATTTGCTGAATCTGACAATAATTTGCAACTTCTGGGGGGAATTTCATTTTGGGTGCCATTCACAATGTAACAGGCGTGACATTTTTCAATTTAACATGCATTATTAACATTTCCTCCATCACCCTCTTAAATCTAGACAACCAACAAAGCCCAACATGTAGCGTTCGCCAATTTCTGGGGTGTAAATACTCTTACCGGGGCCGAATTCAAAATGTCAACTTGGTGTCTCTATGAGTTGGGAAGAGAAACACACGTACTGGCCCATCGTTATACAGCACCGCCACTATACAGACACAATACATGTAAATGAGTGCCAGAGCACATGACAGTAAAACTTGGAAAATAATCAGGAACCTGGAACTAATGGAACACTGTGTGTCAACTATACTCAGTAAAAATAAAAAAAAATTCCTACAAACTAAAAAAAGAAACAAAAAAAAATCAGGAAGTAATGAGTTTTGCATATATTACCTCTGCGATTCTTTTTTTTTTTTTACACCTCTGTTTTTAAATATAATTCATCTGTGGAGTTTACATGATTTCTGATAATAGCCGTGGCGCAACTAGCCCCCAGTGTTTCTGAAAAACAAAAAGTCCGCTTTCAGCAATCAGCGAACCCCATCCGTGGGTGCGGGCGACAGCCAGACTGCCGTGGAATGTGACCTTCCTGACTAGTCTGTAAGCACGACCCGCAATGTCCACCTTCCTTGCTTCCAGTACAGTCTACCCCCCAATTCTGCTCCAGCTACACCGCCAGACCCCAGGAGCCACAGGATCTGTGATGGCTGAGGCTGAGCAGGCATCATGTTCAGCACGACTCCCACAGTGCCTACCACAGTGCCTTTGCATGCAGTTAGGTGCTCAGTAAGTAGCCAATAAACGCTCAAGATGAAAGGCTGCCAGAGGGCACAGGCGCGGAGGGAAAGGTTGGTTCCATGTGTGTGAGGCATCACCTTGGACGCCTTTGCTCATTTAGGATGGCCTAGGCTCCATCATTTAGGACAGATAATCTTCCCGTACATAACACTGACCTGCGCGAGGAAACTGGACCTCGCGAACACTCGTCAGCCCTTCAGACTCTGCTGGCACGTCCGCACTAGGCCCAATTGTGTTTCCAAACTCCCTCTGAGCACGTTCCGGCCGCGCGCTAGCAGCTAGAGCTGCGGGTTCTCACCACACCCCTGACGTCGCCCCCGGGGAAGCCATACCCACCTTCCGCAGCCGGTGGGTCCTCTCTGCCACCTCGAGAGAGAATGGGTGAGACACCAAGTAGGAGCGACAGGAAAAGTGACTTATTCCCAATCTGGAGACACCCACGCCACTGCCCTACAGCCAGAGAAAAAGGCCGCAGTCCCGACTCAGCAGAAGAACCTTGTCATTGACAGATAAACGGTTACACACAAACAAACAACCAACCTGTCACTGACAACCAAAATCTGCCCGTTTCTACCGACTAAAAAGCGGGATCGCCAGACAGAATCAGACAGGAGCGACCGGGGTGTTGCAAGTCCCGGCCACGCGGAGACGCTAATCACGCATCATGCGAGCTCCAATCATCATGTTCCGATCTGCCCTCCCGAAGGAGGAACAGGTAAGGATTATCCTACCTGACGATAAAACAGCTTCTCTGCGTATTCCTTACTCAGGGCAAAGGAGGCCGCTTTCGTCTACGGTGAGTAAATAAGGCGCGGACCCCAGCAACCTGAAATTATCTAGGCTCTCCCATTTCTATTGCTACATGTATTTGCAGTTACTAAAGACATTCCCCCCCACCCCCGACATTTGGCTGCAAAAACCCTGATAATAATAATAAAAAAAGAATCCCTCCCAGAATGCTCCACTCAGGAGCTTGGCACCCTAACGGCAGACAGCGCTTGTTATTTACATATCCCCGCCTACTTCCTTCCGCTAGATGCTACCGTAATAACCAAAATAAAAGCGAAACTTAGGATTGACAGTCTGCAAGGCTGCAAAATAGCCCTGCGTTGCCTTAGTAGTTTGGCCACCCCAATCCTCCCCTAAACGTTTTTTTAAGTCTTGATCTTATTCTAAAATATATTTTATTACAAAGCACTGAATAAAACGCTGATCATCCCAGACTCAAGTGATAATTACCCTAACAGGAAAAATGACATCCTCCACCAAATGCAGTGTTACTGTGGAGGGCTGAAGATGTCCTTTCTTCTTCCAGGAATGGTGAGCTGTCCCTTGCTCCTCCAACCTTCAATCCTATGCTCCCGCCATGAACGTATCAGAAAGGTTTCTTTTTCAGCCCAAAGACGCTGATGAACAATGCTATTTCGGTGATAGCGGGGAGGGCACTGCGGACAGAAGAAGGTGGGTTCAAGGATCCTTCCAAAAAAAAAAAAAAAAAAAAAAAAACCCAAATCCCCAAACCAGAGACTCCACCCCTAAAGTGTAGGAGATGGGGGACTTCAAGAGACTATAGCAGATTGAGTGGATCTGCTATATCCTCCCAGACCATGGAGTAAAGGCTTGTGTGGGGGAAACCTTCAGAATGAGTAGACCTTCCTCCCCCATCCCAAACATTGGCGGCCATCATACCTGCAGAAGACAAAAATGTACCAGTACGTGGTGCACTCCCAACGCTCGAATATGAAAAAGGACAGGGCCACGGATGCACTACAGTGAGCCCCAATGGCTTGGGAATGCACCAAAGTCAAGGAAAGCCTTTGGTTCAATATGTGGTGATGAGCCTCAAAAGGCATTGCTGGGACCGGCGTCTGCGCTGTTTCACCCCCAGCTCCCGCACCACACTGCAAAGGCCAGAGCCTGCAGCCCTGACTTCTGAGTTCTAGAACATCCATGTGAGTATAGACCAGGGCTGGGCCTGCAGAGCTAGGATCCCAGGCTACCCCAACCCAGCGTCTAGGGCTAACCTGGATCCTACAGGTCCAGGAGTAGGCGCCCCATCCACCCCAGGCACACGAGAATACTCACAGTGACTTGACACACTGCTGGAAATCACCAGGCAGCAGCCTGGTCTTCCCAGCTGCAATTCAAGTGTCAAGAACCTTCCCCGGTCCATCTTGTTCATCTCTCTCTCTCTTACTCATTTATTTAGCTGTCTCTTCTGAGTTTCCATAGTGCCTCTCCCTATCTTTACACACTCCTATAGCCCAGAGCTGCTCACACTGGGTTACAGAATGTCTGAGCATCTGCCTCTTCCTCAAGGTGGAAAACTGTCTGTTACTCCCATTTGGGATCTTCAGTGCTTGGTGCATGGCGGGAGCTTAACAAATGACCGAAGATTGTATTAAATCTTCCACATTGCCTAAGAAGATCTGCGAACTGGAGAGGCGGTTTGCCCCGGCCAGAGCACGAGTTAGGTGGCTGGAGGGAGTGGAGATGGAAATGCGCCGTGCATAAAAGGATACAGATGAGACTCTGGGTGCTGTTGAACATGGAAACTCCCGAGAAGAAACCCGCCAGCTCCACTGCAAAGAGGCCAAGGGTGACAGAGAGCGCTACCACCAGCCTGCAGAGAGGAAGGGGGCAGGCTCAGGCCTCCTGGACTTCTTCGAAGACCCCTCCACTCCCACTACCGCTGAATTATGACCACCCTGCCCCCCCCCCCCCGAGCGCTCACCGAATGTCCTGCTTCTCGTACTCCTCCGGGGTGAACGTGAGAGGCAGGCAGGCCTGGATGTTGCTGTCCTGGGAGCAGAGCAGAGCGGAAGAAAGTGAAAGAGGGGCGGGCTGCGGGGCAGCACCGGGGTCAGAGGGGGACGGGAGGACCCGCCCACGTAAGGTCCTGGGGAAGTGGCGCCGAGCGGCTGGGAGCACCCCAAGGTGGGAATGGAGTTGGGGGGCGGGAGGCGGTGGCCGTGGGTCTTACCCGGGACCAGAACAAGGTGATGACGACCACCAGATGCGCCAGGAGCGTCAGGAAGCGAGAGGGCACGAGCCCCGAGATCCGGCCCATGGCCCCGCGGGGGCAGGGGTACCGACTGCAGCGGAGGGCGCGCTCTGCGGGGCTGAAAGCTCAGGAAGGGCCACTCCTCAAGTCTCTCCTGCCCGCACGCAAAAATTCGACCGCCGCCTCCTTCCCGCTTGCGCTGGCGCCTCCCAGTTACCTTGGCAACCGCGTCCACAGGCGCGGCGGCCCGATCTCGGGAAATCTCGCGAGAGCAGTCATTTCTCGAGCCGCGGCGTGAGTTGCGGGTGGCCGCTGGGCGTGCGGTTCGGCCCTCGGTCCCCGCCGCTTGGACTGGGAGGGCCCGCGGCTCGAGGTGCTCTCCAGACACCGCTGTCCCCGTTGAGCCGGTCTTAGGGCGTCGCCGGGCCTAAGGCAGGGACACGCTCTCCCTCCGCCGCCTCCCCGTGCTTCCCACCACCCTGGGGCGCCGCAGGCGCGGAAACGGAACGCGGAGACGTGGATGCCCCTGCCCTGTCCGCCGTCACTTACTAGATGGTCACGGTGTCCCTGATGATCCGAGGACCCCGGACCGGAACCTTCCTTGATCCTCTGACCTCCCCCTCCCCTCGAACCCCCAGACGACTTGGCTCAGTGGCGAGGGAATCGCCAGAGAGCAAAAGTTGGCTCTGCACGTGGAAGCGAGGCGCGTCCGGGGAGGGAGCGATGACCCGGCCAAGGGCACGAGCCCTGCCCCGCTGGGAGGCAAGGAGCGGGCTGCGGCGCCGACTGTGCTCGAATTTCCTTATCTCTCCGAGGTGTGGGCACCTGACTTGGCCCAGCAGCATTCCGAGGACCTCTTACTGTCAGCGCCCTCTCTGACCTTGGGCCCTCTGCTGAGATCCCGGCAGAACGGAAAGTTCTCGCCCTTGCTCTCTGCTCCCTGGTCAGGTCCCTGCATGCCCGGGACCTCCCCAGCCCAAGTACCGGAAGATCTCTTTTCTACTCCACCCTGGCGCTTTTAGGTGGGTCTAAGCTAAACACGCACGCCCAGGGGCCATTTGTGATTCCTAAATCCGTTCAACAAATAATCATTGACCCGCTAGCAAGTGCAGGGCTCTTATCCCTGAGAAACAAGTCAGAAGGCTCTACCTTCCCGGAGTTTATATTCTTCATCAAGGAGATTAGATGAGCCACAAACATACAAAGGAATAAAAAATCCGCAGGGTAAGAGGTGCTAGAAATATATTTTTTAAAAAGGAGACGCAAGGAAAGGCCCTTCGAAAAATGAGTGATTCATTCTTCAACTTTGTTGTAGAAAATGTCAAAATTGAGAGGGAACACATTTCTGTCTTTGAGGACCCCAATGTAATAGATACATTTCCTTTTTCTAAACCAGTGGGTAAAAAAATTCAGAACTCAAAGAGATAATGACGAGGTGTTTGCTCAAGATCATGAAAGACAAAGACTGAAGAACTCTTCCAGATTTAGGGAGACTAAAGAGATGTGACACATTTGACTTGAGAAATATGATGGATTTTAGACCAGGTTTAAAAAAAAAAAAAAAAGCCTCAGGGGTGTCTGGGTGGCTCAGTGGGTTAAAGCCTCTGCCTTTGGCTCAGGTCATGGTCCCAGGGTCCTGGAATCGAGCCCCGCATCGGGCTCTCTGCTGGGCCAGGAGCCTGCTTCCTCCTCTCTCTCTGCATGCCTTTCTGCCTACTTGTGATCTTTGTTTGTCAAATAAATAAATAAAATCTTTTTTAAAAAGTCTCAAACACTATCTTTTGTTGCAAAGGACATCAGTGGAACAACTGGGAAACTGGAATGAGGTCTCTAGTTTAGGTATCAGTAATATCCATGTTAATTTCCTCATTTTTTATAATTCTACTGCTGTTATGGAAAAGACTGTCCTTGCTAGAAAAAGCACACTATTTTAGGGGTAAAGGAGCATTATGTCTGCAATTTACTCTCAAATGGTTTAGAAAAATATGTATGTGTCTGTAGAGCCAGAAAGAGAGGCAATGATGGAGCGAACACGGTCTCGAAAGTACATGGGAATTCTCTGTATTTTATATATATGTTTTTTAAACGATTTATTTATTTGGGAGGGGGGCAGACAGGGAGAGAGAGAATCTCAGGCAGACTTCCCAGTGAGCACAGAGCCAGACAAGGGACTGAATCTCACAGCCCAGACATCATGACTGGAGCTAAAACCAAGAGTCAGACGCTTATCCAACTGAGCCACCCAGGCACCCCTTATATTTATTATTTTAAGTAAGCTCTACACCCAAGCTGGGGCTTGAACTCATGACCCCAGATCAATAGTCACCTGCTCTATGTACTGAGCCAGCCATGTGCCCCTCTCTGTATTATTTTTGCAACTCTTCCATAAATCAGATTATTTAAAATAAAAAGTTTTAAGCGATAGCCCTTCCTAAGGTTTCCTTTTCGGTCTTCTATAATATTATCATTGAGACATTAAATTACTTTATAAAAAGAAGGAATGACTTTCTGGGGTTGATGGTCCCTGTATGTTAAACAACTATACGTTGAATCTATGCAGTGACATTTTCCTATAAAACCATCTCTTTAAAGGGCAGTGCAGTCTTAAATTTCACAATGGAGACAATGTGGTCACCAAAACCCACAAAATAAAAAACACAATCATTTAGACTTTTCAGAGGAATTCTCTGTATAAAGAGTGAGATTCAACCAAGTCTCTGAATTTTTTTTTTTTTTTTTTACTCCAGAAAAATTGGGCGGAAATCACATGTTACCTGCACGGGCCTTCTGAGCTCTCAGGTGTGTAGGGGAGGTTTTTTCTTTAACTGTTGAACCGTTTTAAAGTTCTGAAAATAAGGGCGCCTGGGTGGCTCAGTGGATTAAGCCACTGCCTTTGACTAGGGTCATGATCTCGGTGTCCTGGGATTGAGCCCCTCATCGCATCGGGCTCTCTGCTCAGCGCGGAACCTGCATCCCTCTCTTTCTCTGCCTTCTTGTGATCTCTGCCAAGTGGATAAATAAAATCTTAAAAAAAATTTTTAAAAAGAGTTCTGAAAATATTATCAAACCTTCCCCCATCTCAGGAGGGACAGGAAAACTCTGTCTTCATCTCAGGAGGGACAAGCAAAGTACAGTGGACCCAACTGCTTCTCTCTTTGGAGGTGACCCTCATCAATATGAGGCCTTCAAAACAAGCGACAGTGTTCATGTCCTAAGTACAATGAGAGACAGGCTCCGTGTGAGCACAGCACAGCAAGCACGAAAATATTCTGAGTGCACAGATAAGACCCAAGGACTGAAGGGGTCCTCCCTTCGCCTCTAACTCACATGACTTTTTCTCCTGGGAATGGGAAGCCCAGGCCACTGTCATTACCAACGTCTCCCAGTAACAGTTGTCAAGTCTGACGTTTCACAGACGAAGGAAACACTTTCAACCACTGCAAGTGAGCAAAACCCAGGACCTGTTTTTGCAAGATCTTCCAAAGTCGTGGAACAAAGAGAATGTAGAGGAGTCAGCCAGCCATGGGGAAAAGATTGGGGAAAGAACTTTCCAGACGGAGGTACAGCAAGGGCAAAGGTCCTTTAGGTGGGAATGAGGCCAGAACAGGCCAGTCTGTTCTTTGAACAGAAGGAAGCTGGTATGTCTGGAGGCTAGTAATGCGAGGGGAAGAAGAGATTAAGGTGGGGTGGGATGGGCAGACACAGGTGCGAGGCTTGCAGCCAGGGGGAGGGACCTGGTCAGGTCTGTGTTCTCGAAGACAACTTTGGTTGCAATGTGGAGAACGGATTTTGAGATGTTAGGGAGCAGGCATGGGAAGAGGCTGTTGTAGTGATCCCAGGACGGACAGAATGAGATTGGGCAAGAGTGGAATAAAGAAAGTGGAACAAAGTTTCAGGAATCAAGAGATCATTAAAAGATAAGAAGGTCTAAACATGGGGCTATGAGTGAGTGATGAAAAAGGAAGGGGTCAAGGATGACAGAATTTGGGGCTCCCGCAGCTGCAAGTGTGGGGCATTCTGCTTATAATAGGCTTCCCGCCTAGGGAACCTACTAGATACTAAGAACTGGGTAGTCACATTTCACATTATGAATTAATAACAGTGAGCAGGCGTTTAGGTCTGTCTTGCCGCTCTCCATGATGACCTTGGTTCGCAGAAGCCCGCCCCACAGAGGTCACACAAATTTGAGTGTTAGAGCCACCCTGTGGCCACAGGAGGTACTGCTGGTGACCTGGTGCGTCCTTCCCTTCGCGGGGGTCCACTGACTCCAGCCAGGGCTGGACCCCCGCTGTCCAGCCCTGATGGACATCTGCTCCGGTCAGAAAAAAGCTCAGGGGAAAAAATTCGAACATATGTAAAAATAAATCAAACAGAAGGATAAATCCCTTTGAAGCCTGCCATTCTGCTCCATCAGTTACCAACACGAGGCCAACCTTGCTCAGCCCAGCTCCCTCCCAGCCGCACTAATTATTGCCAAGCAAAACCCAGACATCACCAAATAGCTCAGATTGCCCAATATCCATCATACAGACGCATGACGAAGTCCACACCTTGCACTTGATTGATGTGTCTCTTAAATCTTTTTTTTTTTTTTTTTTTTAAATCTTCGGTTCTTCCTCTTTGTTCCCCTTCCTTGCAGTTTCTCTGATGAAGACACTGGGCCGTTGGGACAGAGACATTTGGTCCTGTCATTTCATATGTTCCTCTGCGTCCTGTGTTTCCTGTAGACTGGTTGCTAGATCTAGTGTTTGATGAGTCTCACATTCATTTTTCCAGTAAATAGACATCACGGGAGTTGGCTTGTATTTCTGATCCTGTCCCATCAGGAGGCGCATCCTGGCCGCTTGTCTCTTTTTTCCCGTGTTCGATCTGAGCAGTGGAGTCAGGCATAGTCAGACCGAGGGAAGCATTACAAAGTTCCCATTAGGTTTTCACGCACGGGTTTCATTGATCGCTGCTGCCTAGCCTCATTCTTGCAGGAAGAGTTGCAAAACAGGGGCGTCTTAATTGCATCGTTCCTTTCTGCACTTGTCACCTGTTATTCTTCCATAAATAAATAAGAATGTGCCTTTGTCAACTTGTTGTTTACCTTGAAATACAGGTTACCCAGGAAAAGCTGGGTTTTGTTTTTGTTTCGAGAGAGGCCAGACATCCAAATTTTTACTCCAGTTACAAATGTTAGCATCCAACTAAACGGTGAAAAAAAATGTGAAAAGGGAGAAAAATACCCCTGATGACAAGAGCATAT